CCCATGATTTTCCTTTAATTTGTTACAATTCTCTAAGCATCACAAAATGTAATCTGTCAGCACCTTAATGTCCATCACACTGAGCAATACCAAGTAGGCATGGCTAGGACTCCCTTTCTGTGGGCTGACACGCTGCCATGCAGCATTTAAACAAAGTCACTAGCCTGTTTGCAGCCCCTCTCTTATGCTCTGAATGCTGTAAGGGCTGATTATCTGGAGATGGTAATAACATGACTTTTCAACAAACACAAACAGCAATCATACAGTTAACACAAACTATGACTCAGGCAATTGTTAACTTAGCACAATTGCTTGACCATTAATTAGAGTATAGCGTTTCCTCTTGAGATATGCTGATTAAAATGTATATACACTCTTCTGGAAGATAACTTCAGGCTGATGGGAAAACAGCAAAGACAGATTTTTAAATAAATACTTTGAAAAGAAAGGACTTTTTGTGCAGGGGAATGCTTGTCTCCTCCCTGCTGAGAGCTGAGTATCCCAGACCATTTTGTGGTTGGCTGGGCAAGTTTTTCGGAAAGATAAAAGAGATGAAGAGTGAAGATGACAGTCAGCTATCTTAGTAGCTACAAACATTTTCTTTGGAGTTGACTTTGCCTTCATCTTTTGTAATCACAGATACATAATTCAATGTGTTTTATACAATATACATGCCATTTTCCCTGCAAACAGGTAAGAGAGCCAACTTTACCAATTAGTAAATCCCCATATGCACTGGTTTTGACTGACCAGTGTGTACCTGGAAATCTCTGCTTCATGAGTTAGCTGGGCCTTTTTGGTCTTCAAAATACTCATTAAACATTACAACTAGCTAGAACTCTCTTGGGGGTCAATGCTGTGCTACTCACTGATGACACAAAATGTAAGAAGTGAGTAAACAGCCATAGCTCCCTGCCTTCTAGATTCTGCCTTTTCAAACTGTGCGTGGGAACATCACCTGAAAGCTTGTTAGACCTGCAACTCTCAGGCCCACCTAGACTCTTACATCATAATCTGCATTTTAACTAGATCTGCATGTAATTTTTTTTTTTTTTTTTTTTTGGGAGACAGAGTCTCACTGTCACCCCGGGTAGAGGGCAGTGGCGTCATCATAGCTCACTGCAATGTCCAATTCCTGGCCTCAAGCGATCCTCCCGCCTCAGCCTCCCAGAGTGCTAGGATTACAGGCATGAGCCACTGTGCATGGCCTCCTTGTAATTCTTATACACATTAAAATTTGAGAAGTTCTGGCCTGAGAACACTGTGCCCACAAACCTGGGCTTTCAAAGCCATCCTTGTGACTGTTGGCCAAATATCAAAAGAGTGGCATAATGACCTGCAACTGGAAGCAAATGCAAAGCAGGTGTGCACCGTTAAAAATTTGGCAGCCCTTCTGCTCAGCAAGGAGTTTAAAGGGCTGCATAGTTGATAGGTAGGAGCAAAGGGGAGACCTTCTTGTAAATAAAACCATTGTTAGATATCTGGAAATTTTAAGGAAGAACATCTAATTCACTGAGGTTCAGTAAAGGTGACTGCTGGAAACTTCTTAAGAACTGAGCAAGTTAAGAAGAAGATGGGAGAAGAAACCATCTTCTGGTTTATGTATTTGTGGCTGCAGACAGAGCTGTGCAAAATGTGATAAATTGGTTCCTATTAGACAGGATTTTACAGAGGCCCCTAGTGGATCATTGCTGGTGTCTTATTATATTTTGACAGTTTCCACACTTTTTCTGCATGGATCAGCAAAACTTTGGGTTTATTTTGCCGCACAAAAGCCTACATAGGTTTCCTACAAGTAAATAGCAATGATAATAACAGGTGGTACCACTAACGGAGTGTCTGCTTTGCACCATATACTGTCTCAGGTGATTTGAATTGTCTCTTTAAACACACGTGGCCCTGAAAGGAGGCATTATTGCATTTTATCAATGAGGAAGCAGACACAGGCACCACTACTTCAAATTACGCCCTCAACCATTTCGTTCCTCTTGAGCAATTTGAGCAAATTGGCAGCTATTGTTGCTGGTTCTCCTCTTTTGATAAGGCAGTCTTCTCTGCCAGCTGGTCAACGGTGATCTCAGCTCATCTTTGTCATCTAGTCCCTGACACTGACCAATGACTGGCCACATCTTCCCTTTTCCTGCCATAGGATAATCTTTGTTTCCTCCACATAAACTCTTTTCTCGCCTCCACCTTATTGAGGCCGACCACCCCTCTCTCCATACAAGATTTCATGGGTTGCCTACGCCTGCCCTTAATGGCCCACCTCCTCTCTGTGGAATGACAAAGTTGCTAAGAAGAACTGTTCCACCATGACTTCAATGAATAAAAAAGACTTCCTTTTCTCTGTGCAAGTAAAAAGCTTCTCTCCCATCTCCCGCTAATTATTCATCAGCCAAAGTGAATTGACTCCTAATGAAGAAAAAGAAGTTATTTTATGGTAAGTCTCAAGTCAATCCCCAAGTAGGGTCAACCCTCTGGAGTGGCCTGGCTTGTCCCTTTACATTCTAGCCCAGATTCATCCTTGGGAAAAACCTAGTCTGTTCTAATGCTGGAATAACTTAGGTCAGTGCTTCTCAGACTTCTTCCATTAGTGCTCAAGAGGATACACTTATAACCGTAAGAGATACTTTAAGGGATGTAGGAATACAACCCCAAAATGGGTTGGATAAAAATGGGAGATTTATTTGAAGACTGAATCAGGTTTTCACTTTTTAAAAGTATGCAAATTGTGACTACCCTTCCACCATGTTTTTGCATTATTGCAGAAATGATTTACATTGGTTACCAGATTAAATTTCATAAATTTTTACCTCCAAATTCTTGAGTGAAGTTCAAACTCCTGAATGATGTGCTGTGTTTCTTCTGTGGCTTTTAGTATCCCTGTTACCCTGTCACATATCCTCTTGAATAGCCAAATATTAGGATAGTATCATTCCCTGATGATTTGGCTAAACCACCATTATGGAGAACAGGACAGTCATTCAAAGGACAAATGTCTGAACTCTGCTCTTTCAGACAACTTAAGTGTAGTCATGAATATATTTGCTGCTTGGCTCGTGCAATCTCAGCATCTGTTTCCAATTAGAGAGACAGAGAGTAAAGTGCATCCGTGTTACCGAAGCAGGTGTTCATGGTGAGCTGCGGAGCCTCCCAGTGACCGCTCTTCAGAACAAATCTCTTAATAATAGCTTCCTGCCCCCCTCACCCCCACCCCGTCCTTTGAGAAACATCATAATGAGATCTTGTTGAGCATATCACTTTAAATTTGTTTCCTGTTTTATGCAGCAATGAGGGGAACCACTGAGTCAGCTAGATATGTGTATGTGTTCTAGTCAGTATCTTAAAAGATAAATGCATCCATGTGAATTCAATATTTTACCCCATTATCTTCCTGGCCAAAGGAGTAGATCCTGTCATGTAGGAGGGAGTTTGTAAATAGTGCTCAGGGGCCACCCACTCTCTTACGTGTGAAGCATGTTGTCACTTGGAAGGCCAGGCAATGATATCAACAGACTTATCTGGTTATGTCTTTGAGCCTTGGGACTCATTTTTCTTGTTGATGAAGCTATCTTTGGGTATGACAAACTCTGCCAAATAAATTCCTTTGGCTTAAGTCACTTAAATTATGCCAGCTTCAAAATTAGTGAACAGATTATGGAAAATGTCCAAACAGTAATTTAGAGGACAATTTACACATGTATTTCCATGTGGAAGAATAATAGTTTGTAAACTAAATACATCTCAGGCCATAATTACAAGTGTCAGAACATGAGAAGATTGGTGAATTTGAGAAAGAGAAATTGCAAACAAAACCTTAAAAAGATAAGTCAGGATATCTTAATGGTACAGAATAAGTGAGACAGTAGAAACATAGAAATTTCCCTAATTCATAATATGGTTCTCTTTTTCTGGAGATTTGCTCATTATTGTGAAAACTAGCTACATTTAATCTTTTTAATTATTGTTATGAGAATACTTTTCTTCATTTATTTTGAAATATATCATACTAAAAAAAGAGTGTATATAAAAACACATGTATAATTTAGAAAGTAATATTAAAACAAATACTTCAGTACTCACCGGTCAGCAAAAGGAAAAGAATAGTAACAGTTGCCTTGATATCTCTTGTGCCCAGATTCATTCTGCTCCCTCCTCTTGGGGTGACAATCACTGTATATCTTGTGTTAATACCTTCCTTTAAAAATGTTTAACCATATGTGTATTTTTGCCTAAACAATAGATGGTTTAGTTTTGCATGTCTTGAGCTTTATCATATCTATTTGTAGTCTTCAGGGACTTGACATTTTTTTTCCTACTCAAAATTAGCTTTCTGAGAATCATCCATGTTAATGGGTATAGCTGTGTAGTATTGCATTGTGTGATACTGCAAATTATAAATCCAGTTATATGTCCATTTTCCAATCAATGGACATTTAATTGATTCTAGATTTTGCTATCATGCACTGCACAGTACAAGGAAGACTTTTATATATGACTCCTGATAGACATGTACAAGGATTTCTCCAGGGTCCATGCCTAACAGTGGAATTGTTAAGTCATAGAGTATGCAAATATTCAACCTTACATATTATTGTGAAACTGTTATATGAAGTGCCTATACCAACTTACCCCTCCATCACAAATGTGTTCCTATTGATCTATGTCAGTTTAGAGCATATTTCAGACAATTTAATCTTCATTGGCATGAAATAGTATCTCATTATCTTATTATGCATTTCTCTGGTTAATAATGAGATTGATGATAGATATATTCGTATGTTCATTGTGAAATATCTGTTCCTTTTACTGTCCATTTCATCTATTGGGATGACTTTCTTCTTACCGATTTCTATTTTTTTTTTGAGACAGAGTCTCACTCTATTGCCCAGGCTACAGTGCCGTGGCGTCAGCCTAGCTCACAGCAACCTCAAACTCCTGGGTTCAAGCCATCCTTCTACCTCAGCCTCCCAAGTAGCTGGGACTACAGGCATGCGCCACCATGCCCGGCTAATTTTTTCTCTATGTATTTTTAGTTGGCCAATTAGTTTCTTTCTATTTTTTGGTAGAGATGGTGTCTCACTCTTGCTCAGGCTGGTTTTGAACTCCTGACCTTGAGCAATCCACCCGCCTTGGCCTCTCAGAGTGCTAGGATTACAGGTGTGAGCCAGCGTGCCTGGCCTTTACTGATTTCTAAAAGTTCTTGTAGTTGTTTGTGTATTCTAGAGACCATTTCTTTTTTGTAAATAGAGACCAGGTCTCAGTCTGTCACCTGGACTGGAGTGCAGTGGTCCGATCATAGCTCACTGTGGCCTTGAACTCCTGGGTTCAAGTGGTCCCCCCACCTCAACCTCCCAAGTAGCTAGGACTAGAGGTATGCGCCACCACACCTGGCTAATTTTTTAAATTTTTTGTCTCTACAAAAAATTAGTGTTGCCTAGGCTGATCTCGAACTCCTGGCCTCAAGCAATCCTTCCTCCTTGGCCTCCTAAAGTGCTGGTATTATAGGTTTGACTCATTATGCCTGGCCTAAGACTGGTTCTTTATTGATCCTATGTGTAGCATTTTGACTCACATTGTTACTCCCTTTATTATATCTTCTGAAGAACAGAGCTCTTTATTTGCTTGAAGTAGACTTATCAATCTTTTCTTTATGAATTATGCTTTTTGACTCTTATTTAGAAACTCTTCTCTACAAAGCCCAGAAAAATATTTTCCCAATGTTTCCTTCTAAAAGTTTTAAGGTTTTGACTTTTATATTTAAATCAAATCAGATGAGAGTTTACTTCCATATATGTGTGAGTTTTCAATTCTTTCAATTGATAAATTTGACTATCCTTGCACCAATATCTCGCTGTCCCAATTACTATTGGCTTATAATAACTCTTGGTATTTGTTGTGCCAAATCTCTGTAACATATTCATCCTTTGGATATTCTCAGTCCTTTGTCCTTCCATATGAAACTTGGAATTATCAAGTTTGTTTAAAATTCTATTGGGATTTTGATCAGAATGTTACCATAACTATCAGTAACTTTTCAGAATTTGATACGTTTAAGAATTTTTTATCCATGATTGTGAAATAGCTTTAAATTTGTTAAGTACTATTATTTAATGTTATTCTTTAAAGGTTTTTAATTTTCTGTCTAGAGACATCATACATCTTTTCTTGGATTTATTTTTAGATACTTTATTAGTTCTGCTGTTTTTGTAAATGGTATCTATGTTGGGAGTCCCCAAGAACATCCTCAGGCTTGATGGTTCACTAGAAGGACTAATGGTGCTTTGAAGTGGTTATGTTCATGGTTATAATTTATTAATGCAAAAGAACATATCAAAATCAGTAAAGAGAAAAGGCATATGGGATGAAGTTCAGGAGAAATAAGGCACAAGTTTCCAGGTATCCCCTCCAAGTAGTAAATATCCAAACTAAAGCACAAAGGGATAGAAAAAAAAGTAAATGGATTAAAGAACATAAAACACATGCAAGATATAGTAAAAAAAAAAAAAAAAAAAGGTGCAGGAGCATATAATTGGAGTCTCATAAGTGGAGACAGAGAGTAGGGGTAGAAGTAATATATGAAGAGAGAATAACCAAACATTTTCCACAACTAATTTAAAAAACTAACTCACAAAATCAAGAAGCTTTGAGGAACCTAGTCAAGATAATGCAAAATAAACCCCACATTGGCTCATAATAAGCTGCTGGAAACCAAAGATAAGGACAAAATCTCATGCCAGAAAAAAATACATTGCTTTCAAAATAGCAATAAAAACTGAGAATTGAATTTTCCATGCAAATGATGGAAGTTAGAAGATAGAAGATATGAAGATGATAAAGAATGTATTCTGTTCCTGAAATTGATGCACCTTGATCAAAATGTCTTTTTTTATATAAGACTATAATCAGTTTCTAAATATGTTGTTTAAGATTTTTGAATCTAATTGTTCTGCAATTTCCCCTTTTTAAAACTCATCTCTATTAGCTATCAAGTCTAAAAATAGCTATTTTGAAAGTTAGAGCGTTTTTCTCTTTTTTCTATTTACTGAAAAAGTTTGTGACCAATTGAAATTAGCTGTCTGATAAACATTTGATAGATTTCCATGTACAACTGTCTATATCTGGTTTTCTATGTATAAGGAGGCTTTTTAACCACTTCGGTGCAAGTGTCGACTACAGTCGATGGCCACAGATGAACGCGCACAGCCGAACATAGACTTTAGTCTATAATTTTGAATTGACTTTTCTAATTTTTCATTTATCAAAATAAAATTGTGAACATTTAAAAATAACATAATGGAAACATATATGTATATGTTGCCTATTCTGATTGACATTACAAGTAAAGCTTCCTGTAAAGTAAAACAAGCTTTCAGTGCTTTAAAGCTTTCCTCATCACACAAGAGCAAAACGGATTCATTGTCAATGCACAGCACAGACTATCGTGCGGACTATGAGTGTCGGCTATGGGCAAGGTTTCGCAGCCAGTGAGCGCCATACCGAAGTGGTTAACTATTGATTCAATTTCTTTGACGGTTTTAGGGCACTGAAGTTTTCTGTTGCTCTAATGGCAGCCCCCATATCTTCTGTTTTGGTCTCAGTATCGTTTAGTTCTAAGTATTTTCTATTTTCTACTATATTCTTTGACCTAGGAGGTATTTAGAAGTTTGCTTTTGAACTTTCAAATGTACAGGATTTTCTTACATATCCTTTTCTTACTGATAGCTAAATTAGTTTTCTTATTGTTGGTGAAGTTAGTCTTTGATACTGCTTGGAATATTTAAAGACTTTTTTGATAAATGATAAATTTGTGCAAATGTTCTCTGTATATCAAAGAATTATTCAACACCTAGATAAAATATTCTTTATATATCTATTACATCACTCATGTTAATTGTGGTGTTTATACTTTCTGTAATGTTGCTGAGTTTTGATTTGCTTCATATATTAATATCTGAGATAGGTGTGTTGAAATTTCTTTCTATTATAGTGGATTTGTTATATTTTCGTCATAGGCTGTCAATTTTTGCTTTGTATATTTTGAAGAAATGTTATTTGGTGCCCATAAGCTTAAACATTATAATTATTTTATCTTCCTGGCATATTCTACCTTTCATTAATGTGTGGTTGTTACTCTTCTTTCTAGTAATT